ATATTTAACAATACAAAATTTTGTATTGCTCATTACTTTTAATTATAATTGTGAGATTATTACAATTTGAAATTATAAATTTAAACGTTATTGTAAGTTGAATGATATTTATAGATACTATATTGTCGTTTTGTCGTAGTTACTTTTATTATTGGAGAAAACTATGCTTACCCCCCTCAGATGCCCCGAAAGGACGCTCCGGTCGCGCGCGTTTCTCCGTGTTGTTATTTGTATGAGCGCTACCATTGCGTTGCGTTATTTTTCATAACGCAACGTTTTTGCGTGGGGTTAGAGAAATTACTTAAATTTAATGACGTGTATCATTTGTATAAAAGATCATATGATATGGATTTTTCCCATAAATACATTACGTGCATGTGTGAGAAAAAAATTATTTGAATAAAATATATCATTGTATTAAATAACAGATTCTACTTAATTTCTGCTGAATCTCTCAGATTATGTTAGATTCTAATAGAAAAAATGAAATGCAAATACAGTTAATGTCCAATCTGCTCACAAAGTTAAAAATATAATTAATGTAATCTGCTTAGCTCTACTGACAAACAGTTAGCATATCACTAAAATATTTTACTTCTTAGATACCTACCATCACGCATAAGATATGTTTTTATTACAAGTTGAGATAATTTCCACATTATAGTTATAAACTTAGTACCACTTGCATGATGTAAATAGGTAGTAACCACGCGTGGAAATCCTATGTCAGGATTCTCCAAAGCAATGACATTTAAATAGTCCTTAACATTATTACGATACTTGGTTTCGGTTTTCTTGCAAATTACTGGCCATTCAACTACTCTTTTAAAACGTTCCGCATCATATATTGTCAGCAAATAATGTGAAACATATATAAATCCAGCAGTATTTGGTTTGTCAAACATTCCCTGTAACACATACGGTTATTATGTATGCTTTCCTTTTAGAAGGCACACTCGACATTCAATGAATAACAAAGATAAAACAATGTTTGTATCGAGTGTGTCCTTCAAAAGGAAAGCATATTATATCACTATTATTACTGGTAAGAATCGAGAAATGAAACATAAGAAAGAAATACATCTCGAGATTAAATTGTGGTAAGATAAAGGAAAGAAAGATACTTACTTCGCGAAAATGTTTTTTGAAATCATGGTCTGGTGGGACTAATTGATTCAATAAAGTGATATTTCGATGGAAGGATGCAGAAATAGCCATTCTGGTGATACACACTTTCACACAGGTGACGAAAAATTGTATCAATTGATACAATTCATAATGCGTATTTATACATCAGATACGTTTTCTCGTTTGGGACAGAAATTCAAGAATACGGAAGCAAATAACGCAAGATAGAAGCTGTTAGAAAATATTCGAGCTTTGTAATTCAAACAATCCAAATATTCAACCGGTGGCTGGAGAAACCCTGGAGACCTCTTTCGGAGCAGCCGTGGATTTGCTCCTTATATCTTGGGTTTGCTTTTGTAATTGCAATATACGTTCTGTGACTGCAGACTGCAGAGAGAAACATGAGAACGGCCATGGCGGCCTTTTTCCTGTAATGCTTTACACTAGCGGCACCAACGTCCATTTTCGAACTGCGGGAACTACGTACCACGAGAGCGAGCGAGACAGCCCCTAAGAATTTTCCAATCACAGTTGGATATACTGCTCGTATTTATATTCGTATTCAACTGTAATTGGTCAATTTTTACAACACAACTACATTTACGCATCGGGCTTGAGGCCTGTTCTACAATGCGTCGGGAGACGTTGTCTTGACGCGCGTCCTTGCGACGTGACGACGTCGTAGGCCGGTATTCATAAGTCGGTTCTTGTTTTAATATCGTCTTAAGTAATGTCTTAAGATGCTAATGCAGCTGTCTGATTGGTTCATAACACCTCAAAATTGAACTTAAGACGGTCTTGAATATAAGAACTGACTATGAATACCGGCCGTAGACGCAGGCGCCCGATGTCTGAACAGGCTACGCCATTTTCACGAATATTACATCATTATCTTTGGACTTCGTATAACACTTATTTTGCTTTGGGCCTGGCCGGAATTTTTCGCAATCATCTCTGCGTCGTCACCTCTGCGGCAAGCGCCATATTATTAAACTAGAAGAATATAATAGAATAGAATTCATTTGTGGTTATGACGTCACAGATGCTAACGCGTTAGCTTGGTAGGATCCGACATCCAATCGAACCGGGGAGATCATTTGCATGTTGCGGTTGCCTGTCTGAGCGATAAAGGGACCCGTTTGTATCTACTGCAAATAGTGATGGATAACGTAATAATGATTTTAAATCTTGATCAGCATATGCTATGTGAGGATAATTCTGGCAATATTCAAATATCGGAAGATCCAAGAAATCCAGGGCTTGTAGTATATGATAAACTAAGTAAGTGATTATATATTAGAAATGTCATTTAATCAAGTTTTATATCCTCGGTTTGTAATCTAATAAATTTTACTCTCTGTTTTCAGACAAGTTTGTTTTTGTTGTCCCGGACAATCAAGAAGTACGCCAATTCTTGCCGCGTGTGCATTTTATACATCAATCTGCTGATCAGTTGATCAAAGAATGTCCTAAAGTTGACATTGCCACTCAATTTCCATCAACACCTGAAATATGGGTAAGAAACTCGGGTAAATCTTCGGCCTATGATGTAGAGGCAACTGAAGCTCTTATTAAGCTTGTCGGAAGTGATCGCTTTAAATCTCTGTTGAAAAACAAAATATGCAGAAAAAAAAATGTTTGGTCACTAATTGCCAAAGAAATGATAACTATGGGTTATAATTTTGGTGAACGAGACCCAGGTACGGTTTGTTCTACCAAGTGGAGGAACATGGAGGGAAAAATTATAACATTCGTTCAGAGTGGAGGCACTAAAGCTGGGAAGCTGAAGCCTCTATTTTATGATAGAATACGAAACATTATGCAAGATTTTCCTAGAGTTAATTTTATAGGCAGGACAGATGTATGTGTACAAACTGACGAGTCCAGTTTATAAGCATATGTGTTGGTTATGCATTAGACAGAGAGAAAGAGAGAGAGAGAGAGAGATGATGGGCAAAGCGTATACGCGAAAGAGTGTATGTATGACACTACTAGGGGAAGCAAGAACATAATTTTCTAAAAGACACGCGCTAAAATAAAACGAGTATCTTTTGAGATAATACACTGTTCATTACTTTGGCCTTCCCTGAGGCGATAAAACCTAACAAGACATAATGTCAGACCTGTCTAATCAGACCTCATTGTTATCGGTAGCAAGTGATCCTTTAAAAAACAGTGAATGTCCTCAAGAATTTAACTGTAGCAGCGCTAAGGATTGTGATGAGCCTTTATCTGATAATGATGCAAAAGAATTTACCTCCAACCAGAAGCTTTAAGTGAGCCCTTTTTTAAAAGTGCAAAATACTATCAAGGCCAAGAAACGAAAAGTTGACAACAGTGTTCTATTAAATTTGAAAAATTAGGATTTAGAAGAGAGAAAAATAGAATAAAAATCTTGTGCAGCCTCTTATTAAAAAGTAAAACAAGAAAAAGAATTGAAAAAAACAAATATTAAAAATTCTCTATAAACTGTTTGACATGTTATGAAAGATTCACACTGCGTTCGATGTCTGACGTTGTTTTCCAGTTCAGTATATAATTCTATATTTATATTTTTTATATGTATATTCCCTCCTATATGCGATTTAGCTTTAATCCATCCAAAAGATAATTATTATAAAAATTTGGCTGTGATAAAGTAATGATTACTTCATGTAGAATGCTACCAAAGAAATATATGTCCTGTGATTTTATTTATCATTGTTCACAAAGCAGTAATGATTCTTATTTTAGTTTTAGAAATATATTCGTCAGTTATTATATAATTAATATCATCACGTGATATTAGGAATATTTTGTGTTTGACTTCTGTTAATTTTTTTAAATTTAATTGTATGCATGGCACATTCGATACATATGCACTGACACGATTCTAGTGCTGCCCTGACACGGTGCGAGTGCTACACTGGATTGATTTGACCTGTCTTAGGTCGGAATCAGACTATACATTGAAGATTGAGATTAAAGATTAAAATTTCACCAATGAGGACAATGAAATTTTGAGTCCTTTTGTTTTGATTGGTCAAACTTCAATCTCATTCTTCAATGCGTAGTCTGATTCCGGCCTTAGTGCAGCATTAAATTAGTGTAACACTGGACAGTGAGTGTTATTCCGCCATTATTGAAACTAATATAAAAATATTTTCATTATAAAATTTTTTTATTGTCATATATATTTGTTTTTTATCATATACCATATAATTAATTATATACCTCTTTGTTCGAGTATTTATTCACGATGTTCACATAATTTTTAACTTTTGGCCTTTCTTCTTTTATTAAACATAACATATCTTTTATTTCATCATCACTACTTCTTTCTAATAATTTATCTATAATAAATAATTTTTGTCTTTCTTTATCCATCAAATGTTCGCACTCAGTGCGCACTAGTGCAGTCTATCGAATTCGCCATCAGAGTATGTGGCATTTCTTGATCGGGGCTATTTACCAAGTCTAATGCCCATTTCCACCAATGTAGATTAACTTTAATCTCGATTCGATTTGCTCTTCGTTTTTTTCTAATTCTAAAAATTAGAAAAAGATGAACAGTAAGTTAAACCGAGATTAAAGTTAATCTACATTGGTAGAAACGGATATAAGTCTTTCTCAAGACTGTTAATAAATTTAGTTTGTAATGTCATAAAACAAGTTTTTAATTTATATCATTACATGGCGTTTTCAATTAAATACAATATTAGTATTTTATAGTATTTATTATCAGGATGCCGTATATTTAATTACTACTGAAGTTTAATATATTTGTGTTTATGCTCGGTGCTAATACCCTGGCTGTCATGATTTTTAAATATATAAGTAAAATGTTTATTTTGAAATATTTATGTAAAAATGATATTGATTTTGAAAATAATGTAAAAAAATAGTGTAAAAAAAATAATACATTTTATGTAATTCTTTAAAGTGAGATTATTTTGTACCCACTGTAACATATATAAGAAAAATAAATTTTAATTTATAACAAGCTGACAATGCAATCCTTCTTTTATATAAGCAAATTTTATAGAAAATGCCCGGTTGCTGCGTGCCTTATTGTTTTAATAGTAACAAAAAAGGATTTTCAATGAGGAGTTTTCCATCAAATGTAAATAGCATGGCAAAATGGATAGAAAATATTAATATTCACAGCGGTAATCAATCATTAAAATGCCAATCCATAAAAAACTTGTTTGTATGCGAATAATAAAAATATGCGAATGATAAAAATATAATACTAATAAAAATAAGTTTATTCTTTTATTATTCCATTCTCGTCAATTGAATAATAGCGCGCGTAAAGAACATATTTGAGGCATCTTATTGGTTCCGCCATATTTTGTCAGCACCAATAAAATTAATAATGACTTGGCCAGACTCATTATAGGGACTCTAATGCAGCCTAGAGTCCTAGATATCAGAGAAGCGCAACCGGTGTGCCGCATTCTGATTAGCTGACTGTCAGCCAATCATAACATTCATTCAGTGGTACTAAAAATGGCTGACTAACAGACGATTGGTGGATTTCATAGTTCGTCTGCAAACGACTCGATTTTTAGTATTTTTCTTAGTAGTTTTGCGATACTGACTTAAGCCGGTTACGCTTTTCTGATATCTAGGACTCTAGTGCAGCCAAGAGAAAACGCTATTAGCATAAAGTATCATGGCCCGTATTCAAAACGCGCTAACATGCTGTAGTTTACGTCACGTATACTATAGAATTTCAGAGATAAAAGCGCGCTTTTATCGATAAAAGTGCGTTCGGACTCATACGATCTCATGTCCTACATTCCGAATGCGCAAATTTCGGATTATCCTGTATATAAATTTCCACTTATCAAGAAAAAAAGTTATATAAGTAATCAATACTCTGAACGTTGATTCTGTATGAGATGATACTTACAAAAATAAGCAAATCTACTAGGTGTTAACTAATGAAATTATAAATATCCTTTTAAATTCGCTCATTTTTATAATTTTTATTAGAATCTGTTATCATGATCTGTTCTGACGTTAAAAATGAGCGTTGAGTATCAGTATGTCAGCAAAAAGGCTTATCGTATAAGCAGTGTGAATGTAGCATAAAGAGAAACGCGCGCGGGTATGGAATTTGAGAATCGTTGTGCACCGCCTTAAGAGGCATGGACGAAGTCGTATTACGCTCTGGCAACCATTTTTGTAAGATCGCTGCCGTACGTTTCACGGTTGCTTCGTGTGGCTTCGTGCAGCGTGTAAATGTCGTACCGACATATAGCACATGGTAGTTTCGCGACGAAGGCCTCGGCGAAAAGAAAAGGAACGTGTGTCGATCGAAAAATTTGTGAATGATCTCGAGAACATGTCGCTGACGGTCCGCTCCCACGAGACCGCACCGTGCAAGGAACGTCCTCCGACGAGGAAGTCGTAATTCCCTCTCGGGTCGGGAGTAAAAAAAGAGTGACCGCGAAAAGTACCTCTGAGGATTTCTGTCGAAAGATACGGGTGGTGGTTTCGTCGGTAGTCACATACGAGTTCCGCGATAGACCTGGGGATCCGTCCGCGGTAGTGACTCGCGCGAGTGTTTTGTGGGGTCCCTTTTACTATGCGACAACTCGGCCGAATCCCTCTCTCTCATTCCCTCCCCGTCGGACGTGCCCCGTGATACATTAATTGACAATTGACGAGAGAAGAAGCTGCTCGTCTCACTCCTGGAACCCCCGATCGACACGACAATGGCTGCGACCTTCGATCAGTATGACAAATCAAGGTACGTGCGGGAGAATTCCCATGTTTTGATTCATCAAGCAAGTGTCACACTTGCATTAAGTATTATTGGCGTAATGGCGTTTGAACGACCGTGCGGGTCACTTGACGTATTGCAGTTTCCCGTTTAACGACTCTCGCACAAAAACGGTGTAATTATCGTATCGACGTATTGGATCTCGGAGCACTGGATAAATCGTCTTTAGTCCGTGCAATACGAGTTGTAGTCTGTTGTAGTCGCTTCGAAGGGAGTATCAGCTTTATCGTGGAGTATAAATTTCGTAATTTTTCAAGTGTTATTTCCTGTGTTTGTTAGATCAATCTTATAAACACTTGCATTACAACGTGTGAATATTCTCACAATCAAGCACTAATTAAAGATAATTAAAATCTAAATGTTTTTAAAACCTCTGTTCCATATACTTTTGTCCTAGAAAGAAAAATAGAAAATTTTAATTATTTAAACAATAGTAAGTGAAAAAATTGATCGAGAAGTGTTAAACACAAATCAATAAAGGAGATCATATTCGGTCAAAATGGAAATTGATACTCAGTAATATTTTTGCGTAAATTCTTAGGCACCAATTTCTATTTTGACTAAATATAACCTTTGCTTATATCTTAATTATTTAGTTGCTTTGATTTAATACTTAAAAACAGTAATATTCACTACAAAATTGTTTTTTATAGTTTTTTTTATTTATTTATGAAACTATAAATTTATCCTTTTTTAAAAATACATTTAAATATAAATTTCTCTGAAACTATTATAATTGATTATAATTGAATTTTTTAGCTGGTACTTTGGTGCTATGTCACGGCAAGATGCATCTGACTTATTAATGGGCGAAAAAGAAGGTGGGGTATTTTTAGTACGAGACAGCACTTCTATACATGGAGACTTTGTACTATGCGTAAGGGAGGACAGTAAAGTCAGCCACTATATCATCAATAAAATCCAACAAGGAGATCAAATTCGTTATCGGATTGGAGATCAGATGTTTCCGGATATTCCCAGTCTTCTCGCCTTTTATAAGCTTCACTACTTAGATACCACACCGTTAATTAGGCCAGCGCCAAAGAAAATGCAGAGGGTAATTGCGAAATATGATTTTGAAGGAAATGATTCTGAGGACTTACCCTTTAGGAAAGGTACATATCGATATTCTTAATTCTGATTAATTTGTATTAGTTCATTATTTGTAATTGTACTAACGAGATACTTTTAATTTAGGTGATATACTCACTGTAATATCGAAAGATGAAGAACAGTGGTGGACAGCTAGAAATAGTGTGGGCCAAACTGGTTCGATACCAGTGCCATATGTTCAGAAGTACGACGACGATAGTCATATGATAATAGAAAATAATTCGCGGCCTGAAAGTGGCGGCAGTTCCGGCTCTAACTCAAATTCAGGGCCTACATCACAAGTATCTCATACAGAAACGACAGGGCAAGCAACTGTAACTCGAAGATCAAATATACAGAGAACACTGCCAGCCTTTGCCAAAGTGAAACAGGCAAGGGTGCCAAATGCATACGACAAAACTGCGCTAAAATTAGAAGTAGGTGATATGATAAAAGTGACAAAGACTAATATTAATGGCCAGTGGGAAGGTGAATTGCATGGCAAAGTCGGACACTTCCCATTTACACATGTGGAGTTTGTAGATAATGAGACTGGTGAAGACAATCAGGAGATTTAACAAAAATTCTCCGAGTGTGATGTACACCACATGTGTGACAAAGGGAAGAAAGACACCTCCTATATTATCAAAATTTAGAGTTACTAATAACATTTATTATATGTGCCATTTCAAAAATGCGGTTAGCTTGAACAACTGTACAATTGCTGAATATAACATACTATAAGAATAAACGCCAGATTTTTGTGCAATATGTCATAAGAAATGTTTAGAGGTTTATGTTAATATCTCCTGCAGTATGTTAATTTAGTCACATGTTTATTCATCAATTTATATATTGCTAATTGTCCAAAGCACAAGCATAATTTTAAAAAGTTATTAGATACATAATACAGTACATATTAATTATATATATTAATATGATTTTATTTTATTAAAAATTGAAACCATGTTTCAGTGAAATAATGAACAACAAATTTTTGTAAAAAATACAATATTTGTAAGATGTATACTCTAGTGGTTTTAATTTATATTATATATATATATATATAATTTATATATGTAACTACCTATTACATATATAATCTACATTTTTTTCTATAGATATAACATAGTGCACTAGTTTAACATTCACGTATATATAAGTTTTAATTGTTTATTTAGGAATTTATTATAGTGCTCGAAATGAATGGTTCGGCACATGCACAGTTTTTCATCTACACTCAACAATCTTTCATCATGGATTTGTTGATTTTATAAAAGATTTATATTATTGATTTATTACGTATATATAATTTATCACTTTTATTTATGAATATTACAATAGAAAAAAAGCATGTATGCGTTCCTTACAATATTTTGTTAGCAAACATTACACTTATATTCCTGAAGTTATAGAATAGTATGTTCTGCATTGAATGTACAATAATATCTTCTAGTCAAAGTGACTATGATAAAAGCATACTGTATATGTACTCGCTTGATATTATATTTCATTTTATTATTATTAACACACTTCCGAAAAAATATCCAAATATTGTAATATTTTGGAAAAAGTACAGTTCTACAGGCTATGCAATCCAGATGTCATGGTACATACAATATCTGTTAGCCATAGGTTGTGCCACCAATTGGAGCAACACTTTGTGCTAGAAAGTTGTATTTATAAATAATGATGGAAAGGTTAATTGTATCGAAAAGTTGATCCTAGTTACGCAAGATATTTTAGAACTTTTGGAAATTATTTTGATAGCAAATATTTTGTAAATGAATATTATGTTCTCATGAAATTTTTATTGAGAACGAATTGATTCTAAAACTTAAGGCATCAGCTGAAACACTGCTAAAATAATTAAACATTTTACGTATATTAGAATTATACAAATTGTCGTACATTATATAATACATGTTATATATTTAAAAAGAAAAAACAGACTTGTATTAATTAATTATGTTTTATTATATTTGCAATATAATTTTAGAATATAATGCGTAATGTATATTCTACCATTCAATTTTTAATTTACTGTATGCATTTGACATTTCCATCGTCATCATTCTCATCATCGTCATCATCATTATAGTCACAAGTTGCGTAAGTTCTCCATAATCTTCCTAAAATTGTACGCAGTATTAAGATAAACAAAACTGGAAGTATTCCATATCAATAATTACGTTTAGGCAAGATTCTCTTCCGTTTAATGTTTAAATATACGAGATAAAATATAAAATGATCCAATTTATATATTTTTTGCCAATTTTGTATGTGTAGTAAAGGCAAGCTGAGTAACAGGCAGTTTTTTTGGCAGCATTATGAAAATCGAGCCGTATATTTGTATAAGATGAAACAAGGTCCGGTATGTGCCATTACATACATTTATTTTATCTTTAATTACCAATATTCCAATGAGACAGATGGTGCTGAAATGGGTTTCATCTTGTTATATAGTGATATCATCATACAAATATTTAAATATTAAGTAATTTGCGCATATATATATTTTCACATAATAGTTACTTGATTGTTATGTATATTAATTTGAAGAATTTCTGTTATAAATTTCATCAATTATAACGAAAGAAAACCATAGTTAGAATATAAATTACTTGATCACATTTTCACATGCATGATCCATCAAAATAAATTCATTTGTACGTACAACATATACATGAGATAAATTTAAATACGACAAGGATATGATAATGTATATTTTTCTAAGCGTATGCACATATTTTTTTGATTTTTCTGATAGTGAACCGATTCCATAAATAAAATATGATAATAAATAATAAGATGAATAATCATTTAGATAAATATATATTTGTGTTGTAATTTATAGTAGATTGTAATAATGTAACGTTCCATTATAGAGAGCACTCAATAATAAATGATTATGTATGTAGATACTGTTGTTCATTAATTTCTATATCTATATTAGTTGTTAAAAATATATACTTTTCTCACAATCTCTCACATTTACAGAATTCAACTAAATCGAGCTCGAAAAATATAGCCTTTATTGAAATTATTTTGTAAAAGTCAAGACTTATAATATGTTTTATAATATCTGCATTTATTTCAAACTATACAATGTTAAAAGCACAGTATATAACCGGATTTAATGTAACTTTAAAAAAGAAGTAGACACGCTATCGTGCCAATTGCGTAATTAATGCTGCACACATTTCAAAAAATTCCATTGTGTGATGGCCTGTTGCTTGCGGAGGCGGCAATGTTGGATCTATAAAAGGATACATTATTTTTATACGCAAGTTATGTTTATGTATAATCAGTAAGTCAAATATATTTTTAAAGATTTAATTTACCTCGTCCAATGTCCTCTTCTTCGCTGGATAAAGATTTGAAGTCTAACAAATAACTCTTGTGATCAACTTGATATAATTGTAATGACATCTTGCTATATCTGTCAGTCAGTTTATTTTTATGTCTTACTCTAACACTGTATGTGTTTACAATCTTCCACTCCTGAAAAAGATATTTTGCATGATATCACGTTTGAACAACTAATTGTTATACGATATAACTGCACACATGTGATTAATCTTACAAAATTAAGCGCTTTCATAGCACGATAAACTTCATTCATAATGTCGTTGGGTTTGGATTGTGATCTAATTCCTAAATGCCACTTCGCCCTTTTCACAGGCGTACCGCGATTTCCTTGCATCTGTGCAGGTGCGCTGCCTTGCGAACCTTGACGTTCGCGGTATGCTGTAACATTGCCATTACCTGAATAATTATGCATAAAGGATGATTAAGATATTTTTTAATAGTCTTTACAGATTTATTCTTATATAAAGAAAAAGAATTTGTTAACGAAAAATTCATTAATTGTTGAGTCGCATTTGTCTCGTTCATATTTTTTACATACGTGCAATTCTTTCTGGATGAGGCCTCAACGGACTACTGTTTGCCTCGTTTGGACTAAATGCTACAGGCGGAGGACTAGACGCTACATAAAAATCTTTCAATTCCGCCTTAGCAGCTTCATCCGCGATTCTCTTATTGTCTATGATTAAGTGATAAGCGATCGCCAATTGATCGTGTGGATCGCCGCCCAACAGTGCGGAATGTACTTCTGGTTCTTTCACATTAAATTTTTCGCATACTTCATTCACAGCGTCTATATCGATAACTGAAGAATCTTGTTCGACAGGTGATGGAAATAAGTACGACGGTAAATCTTTTTGGAACCATTCGTGTTTTCTGAAATTAAAAAGTATGCATTAGACATAATGATAGAAGTATTAATTCAATATTTTGAAAAAAAAAAATACATCATCAATGTACTTAATATCTTCGATAGTCGCTCTCTTCATTGGATCCACTTGCAACATGTGGCATAAGAGGCTAACGACACTTTTGTTCAAATATTCCGGAATAGGAAAAACACCGGCTAAAATTAAAGAAGATTCCAATTAATCCTGTCATTTAACGTGCCTTTGAGAAAATATCCAGCGTGCCGGCTGGCATTTCTCTTTGAGGAAGATAACTTACATTTGATCTTGCGAAAGAGAGTAGGAACATGCTCGTCGTCGAATGGCAAGGTACCACAAAGTAGCGCATACAATATAACACCACACGACCAAATATCGACTTCGGGACCGGCGTATAATTTACCGGATATCACTTCTGGTGCAGCGTAATTCGGAGAGCCGCATGAAGTACGCAAGAACTCTCCGTCCATCATCATGTTTGACAGACCTACATTTTCGTAGAAGAACATTTTATCACCTATACATAATGGAAGAGTCGATATGCCAATTATATCCAAGTACCGAAGTCAGCAATTTTCACATGGAGATTGTGATCTAACAGAAGATTTTCTGGCTTTAAATCACGATGTACTATCATATGTCGATGGCAATAATCGACGCCTGATATGATCTGTTGGAAAAATCGTCGCGCTTCGTATTCCTTAAGCTTGCCGTGTTTAACGATATAATCGAATAACTCTCCTCCTGAGACGTATTCCATTATCATGAATATATCTGTAGGAGTACTTATGACCTGATATCTACGTGAAACATATATTAAAATTTGGATTATACGAACTATTTATTTAAAAAAGACTCGTAAATATTAATGTTGTGTATGTGACACTTTTCTTTCTCACTTCAAAATTAAATTCTCCAAAATTTATTTTTTAATTTATTATTTTTAAAGTAACTGATATATAACTCATATTTATACATGAGTTCTTTTATTATTATATATACTATTAAAATTTTACAATTAATACTTACAGCTTAATGATATGAGGATGTCTGAAGAGTTTAAGATTTTGTATTTCTCTACGAATTTTGCCCACGACATCCAGGCTCTTGATTTTTTGACGATTCAGAATTTTCACAGCAACTTTGTGTTTTGTTAAAACGTGTTCCCCAACTGTGAATGATATCACATGAGAAAGCTTATAATTTTAGGTAAGATAATATAAAGAGAATTTTTACTGTATAATATATTCAGACGTACTTTTCACTTTGCCAAACGTACCCACACCTAAAGTCTGGCCTAACGTATAATGGCCTATTTTAACAATGGGTTGCGGCTGATTACTCGGGAGTTTTTCAGACATTTTGAATTTTCTGCAATAAAATTTATTATTGGTCTCAAAGTTATACTATCTCTAAAAAGGAAATGAAAATATTTTCGTACAACACTAAAAAACATATTTACCGGCCAAGATAATATTTTTCGCAATATAAATTAGTTATTTACAGATTTTTAATATGCCATTCATAGATTTTAATGTCATTTAACATTATTAAGATCCAAGATGCTACGAGCATCAAAATTGTTAGATTGTTAGTCAATTTAACTCGTGATAGTACTGCGGTAGTTTATTAGAGTTTGTGTTGTAAGTCTGAAAAAATTTCGGCGCGCATTTTTAAGGATCTATAACATATGTAGTATATAAAATCACACGAAATTATATATTAGAAGCATCCAAGATCCAGCTTGATAGTAAATCTTAATATTGATACTAAAATCGATGCCGAAATATTTTACTCAATCTACTGATATTTTGCATACTAAGATTATTATTGCGAATTATTCTCAAAATTTTCAAAAAATAGTTGCAACATGCATATGTATAAATGTGTTTATCCAACATAAATTTCCTGTCTAATTGGAAATTATATCACAGATAAAATATAATTCAATACTAGCTTTTTTATTGTCATGATAGACTGAAGAACAGAAAAAAAAAACAAACTGTTAATTATAGCATGATCTTTATTATAGTCAGTTGTTATTCGCAATGATTTTAAAGAAATAAGAGAGTGTAAGAAAACCACTTATTATATGCAACATGTACACCTTAGTTATCAAGCGTTTACGTAATTTTCTTACATGCGATGCTACAATGAAATAATAACAAAGTATTGGGACTTTACAGAAATGCGCAATAAAAATGGCACGGAACAGTCTCTCAATCACCTGACACTATTTACATGCCTCTAAATGGATTTCTTATTATGCGACATGTACCTGCCGATTTTATCGAATCAATCTGTATCACACTGCTCGAGTGAGTAGCAATAGAACAAGACCTGTTTTTATATCGTGTATATAAAAATCGCTATATAAAAATAATCGCAGACGCGTCCGGATCATTCATTATCAAATTTGTAGATACGTGTCCTCACGATCACTCACACTTAAAAGATGTCGGAGACAAATCAGGAGTTAATGGAACTGAATGGGACCAACTCCGAACCTCTAAACTGATCTCGATGAGGACACTTGGTGGAAAGTTTCGACTCTTCCAAAATTCCCAATGTCAGAAAATGAATTCTCCGTTTTAACGTGTAAGCTGAGTGAACGTTCTCCGTATTCTTGATGACTCTTAACCTCTTCGTTAATATATACGTTGCTTTTAATACACCCTTTAATTAATATACGCTGCCTGCGCTGTTCCACCCCACTCTATTTCGCACTTGTTAAATAACCACGTGATTACTAGCTGTCATCGTGGACATATGATTTCGATCACTCCAATTAAAAGCTGCGCACAATGGAAGAAATGTAAGGAACAAGCAGGGGACTATGCAGAATAAAAGGAACAGAGAAGAAGAATTTCAACCTATCAGAAATCACACTGTGGAATAAACTGTGTATTCCATAGTACATGATTTGAGATTTCTGATGTGTCGTGTTCAGCAGACTCAACTGTTGCGGAGCAGATCAGCTGAGTCTGCTGAACGTAATCAATGGGTGCATGTCGATCATTGTAGAATATGCTTTACAGAGTACCACATAAGTTAACAAATTACGACCAGTAAAAATCCTTTAAGCGGTAAGTGAATCGGCCAATCACAATAGAGAACACAGTAAAGTAGTTACTTATTACTTTGGATGCATTCAGTACCATTCTTTGGTCTATATCTTCAGATTTAACGGAATATGCCAATCAGATTTAAGAGCTCGCTGGAGTTTAGTGAGCGGTTGCAGCGGAGAAAGTTTGAGAGCAACCATCAAACCACATCAAACTGATCAAACCATGACCACAATTTAGGCTTTTAGGCCTTCTCTACAATAAGCCATTACCTAAGTTTTAAGTATTAGTAAGAAATTGACCACTCATATAAGAAATCATAAGAAATTGACCACTCACAGTCGATTATTCTTCTCACATTCGATTGTCATTGGTCAATTTCTTATGACTTAAACTTAAAACTTAGATAATGGCTTATTGTAGAAGGCCCATTAGCTATTAAGTCCCATAGGCAGTGGATAATATCCACGATTTTGTGATTTTTTTTCCATGTAAATCTATAATAAATTTGTATGACGGTCTTGATTTACATAACTCAATAACGGTACTCCACACAATTGCGCTTTACAACCGAATTCGCCATTGCTCATCATGAGCTCGGTGTGGGTTGTTAGGTGTTTCTGACGTCCAGAGAAGGTATCTTGAGAACAATCGTGGTAACTTTATTTAACTGTAATTTCGATTGCGTAATTTCGCGTTTAAATCATCGATTGGCGAATCATCAAAATTTCTTTTTAGACCTTCTGTTGCTGCGATAACACATCTTGACATATGTCTTGCATATTTAACTGCAGTCCTCCTTAGTTAGGTTAATTCGCCATTAATCGTGATAAAGTTTGTTTATTATATAATAATATAAACTAGTGTTGCTAGCCTGGCGAAATGTTGAGATTACCGATCGTGCGGGCCACAGGCCTGGCAGGTGGAAGGCATTGTGCAGTCAGTTTCCATACGACGCCCAATAAGTTGCAACAAGAACTGGTCGAGCTTTTCATCGATGACAAGCCTGTACAAGTACCGCCAGGAACAACAGTTCTACAGGTTCGAGGCTACATGTATTTTCCATATTCTTTCTACGTTCAGTTTTTTTCGTATGTCTTCTATTGAAAAAAATAATTTTTTAATAATTTCCAAGTCTATATATATATATATATGTATATATATGTATATATATTTATAGATATATTTATAGATATATTTACAAATTGACAATCGAAAAATTACTGAAGTTGGAGCTATAATGATTTATTATTTATAGTTGTCATTTATTATATTTAATTAATGGACAAGGTAGAACAAGTTAAACATACTGAAAGAAACTTTTGTCAATTTGTTTTAATTTTTTTATATATTACTCAATTGTAAACTTGATACATTACCATTTACGGATTGAAAAAATAAATATAGAAAATAAATATAGAAAAATTGAACATTTAGATGTTTGCATTGTTTAGCTATATATGTTTGGAAAATTTCGAATGTATAGTCATTTCTATGAAAACAATTTTTAATTTATTGAAAATATGGTAATTATTTAGAATACATCCCTCCCCCCTTTAAATCTTAATAAAAATATACTTATTCGACGCGTTTTCACTCAAAACGAAAGAATCTGTAAGAAAAATGCGGCCTTTTGAACCGAGTTATTAAAATTCGAGATTTTACAGGTTAGAATATCTGTCATCCCGACTCAATTTGAACGCTATGTGCACTGTTTTAAATACGCAAAAGTATTATTTAAAAAACATAAAAAGTCACTACTTTATAAACACAAATTCACTGCTAACGCAGAATTTTACTTTTAAAGTGTTTATAATATTTTATAATATTTATTTTATAATAAAATTTTATAAATATATATTATATACACATACACATTTTATATTACGTATGCAAATTAAAAATAATAAAGTTAATTAATTTCTTTTACAGTATAGTATTTAATATACATTTGTCCATTCATTACAAAATAATATAAAATAGCTATTTAGTTTCAACAATTTTCTAATATATACAAATTTTCATTAAAAGATACAATTGTCAAATATGCTTTGTAAAAATAAATAAAATCAATATGATATTTAACAATTTAACTGACAGTAAATAAGTTTATTTCAGTATGAAAACAAAATTAATCACTTATGGTAAAATTTACATTCTAAAACTATTATAATAAACAATATTTTTTTTGTAAAAGATTACTACTATTATATATAAATTGTAATTTTAAATTATAAACAATAAAAGAAAAAAGATTCTCATTATATGTATATAAATATTAAAATATATTCATTGCTCTCAATAATAAAAGTAGGTAATAATATTCATGTGCAAGACAAATTTTTCTTTTAGGCTGCTGCCAAGGTGGGAGTTGAAATACCAAGATTCTGTTATCATGAACGTCTTGCTGTAGCTGGAAATTGCAGAATGTGTCTTGTTGAGATAGAGAAGCAAGTTAAGGTAATAGCTATTAGATATTTTGCTATTGTATAACACAACAAAATAGCGAAAAGGATGAAATAAGTCAGTAATTAATGGATGGTACTTATCCCAAATCAATCTTACAGCCAGTTGCTGCGTGCGCTATGCCAGTAATGAAAGGCTGGAGAGTGAAAACCAACTCTGACCTCACACGAAAAGCTCGCGAGGGTGTTATGGAATTTCTGTTGGTTAATCATCCGCTGGACTGTCCAATCTGTGACCAGGGTGGCGAATGCGATTTACAAGATCAAAGTATGGCTTTTGGAACTGACAGGAGTAGATTTGTCGATATTAATTTCTCTGGAAAAAGGGCAGTAGAAGATAAGGACATGGGGCCGTTAATTAAAACAGTTATGACACGCTGCATACATTGCACAAGGTGTATTCGATTCGCTTCGGAAGTAGCTGGTATTGACGATTTAGGAACTACAGGTCGTGGCAATGATATGCAGGTAATATTTTATATAGATTTCAAATATAATTATTTACTTATATATATATATATATATATAT